AAACCCAGTTTAACCCAGATCACCTCCTCAAATGTATTTATTTTTCTCAGTATTTTGTCACTGCAGTAAGAACAGATGATCAGTATTTCCAGTCAACTGACACTTCACAAGGCAACTAAGTATCCATGTTGAAGAAATTCAACATTCCTTACTTTACTATGGGTTTTTTTTTCCACTCATCTTCTGGAGCTCTGTAAATGCTGAGTCCCCATATGGTTCTATGACTTGAACAGAGAGCCTGAGGGGCTACACAGCTCCACATGGTAGCTTGGAATCATACTGAGTTATCAATCAATCCAGCTGGAAATGTCAACAGTGCTTACTGCTTGTTCCATATTATGCTCTTTTAAAGAACAATATTTGTTCGAAAAGCCACATATTACTAAAATGTAAACAAATATTAAAAAATTTAGGAAAAACACTAGAACACTTACCATCAAACTCCGCTGGTCCTACCCCCACTATAATTATTGACATTGGAAGCTTTGAAGCCTTCAAAAGAAGAAAAAAAAGAGGTTTAACACATTACATAACCTCTGCCAGTAACATGTGAGATCTGAGGACAATCTGACTAAAAAACATGCAGAAGTTATGGGGTTTCTTTCCACCTAAAAAGTTCAGTGGTGTAAACTGTCCGCTTAAGTGGTACAAAACATCTTGGATGAAGATAGAAAGGCAGATGATTATTTTAATTTATTTTTTCCTTAAAAAGTCTTTGAATCATAGGATTGTAATTAAACACAACAAACTATATTAGGATTTAATACTAATATGACAACTAAGATGACAAATTTATCTTAGTAACTTTTGTAAACTGACAATAATTGCAAATATGTACCTAATGACAGTTTGACATTTATTTAAATGTACTTTGCTGTTTCTTGATATTATATAGCTGCTTGGAACTATGTGACACTATTTTTTATATAGATCTTATGCCAATTTTTCTCAAGAGAACAAATCACCTATTTGAGCAATATGTATCTTATATTTCTTCCATGAATGAAATTTTATTCAAGTCAGTCATCCATACCACAAAGTAAAAAAGATATCGAACTGGCTTATGGTAAGATTTTTAAATTAACTTAATCTTTTTCATTCAACGAAACAAGGCAAAGACAGTATCTGGCTTTCCCTGAATAAACTCTCTGTAAAACCTTTAAAATTACGAAGACAGTATCATAAATATTGGATTCTCCTACCCCGACAGTAGCACCAAATATCTGCTAGTTTACAGAAATAATCTGAAAGTGCCTCTGTTGAGGAGGGTAACAACCAAAAAAAACCATTTACCAAATGTCAGGGTTGACAACCGTTCCTTATTGAGACATTCTGATGAACTGTGAAATGTCTACAGTCATTTTAAACAGGAGTATACACTGGCCAAAAATCATAGACGTACACTTTCTGCTAAATTAAACTCTGCTTCACTGAAGTCTGAAGTCAAATGGTTTCAGAACATACCGTTATATTTTTCTTTTGGAATATAAAAAGTGTTTTTCTCCCTCATTTAAAAGATATTCTCATTTTAGATACATCATCACCATTTCCCATTCTTCATCTGTCATAATACTACATATAAAACCAACTTTCTTTAAGCAGAAGATCGACAGTTAATTACAGTAAACATGCTATTTAAAACAATGAAAATAAGCCATTCTATAAATCATTATTTAATGTTCTACACCACTATACATTATACACTATATACACTATTATTGACTGCAAATTCATCACGAAGTGTTACTACATAGTCAATCTTCCAGCTAAAATTTTGTAGCGGAGTAAAAAAAAATTAGTAATCTCTTGTTAGTTAAATACTAATATGCTACTATAATAGTAGATAATAGTAAAAGCCATCTGGCCATGGTCCTGGGAAACAGCTCTAGGTGGCCCTGCTTGTGCAGGGGTTTGGACAAGATGACGTCCAGAGATCCCTTCCAACATCAACCAGTCTGTGATTCTGTGATTAAGGGCCATAACTGAATTACAGTGCACTGCATAAGTCAATAATAGCGAGTATAGAATATTTTTGAGACATTAAAGCATTTCTTAGAACAGAACATCTTCTGTTTTTCAGGTGTTTTCTAGAACCTTATTGCTTGATTGTAACGAAAATATCCTGTAAAGGGATTCCTACTCATACAGACACAGTATTATGTGATACAATGTACATAAAACAGTAAGTGGCAAGGACAGCATAAAGACAAAGAGTTAAACTTTTGCATACAAACTTAAGTGTTGGCATTTCCTGAAGGACAGCATAACCTTTAAACAGTTCGGTAAAACAGAATATGTCTGACAATTATGCTGCAATGAGAAAGATACCTAAAAGCACAATTAGTGTTAAAAAATTAAATATACTCTTCCTGAGTTTTATACATACCAAGTTGCATTGAACATCACTGCCCTTTTCATTATTTTGGATATTATTAAGACTGAGAAAACTGCTATTGAATAGCACTTAATTAGTTCTGCCATGGTATATCATGCTCATGCTTCAAGAAGGATACAGAAAAATGAATGCATCTTCATAAAAAGAAAAGACAGCAAATATTCCCAAACTTCCACTCATTCCAAGCTAACAACACTTCTGCTGTATATCCAGACAGTTGCAGACTAACAGCTATTATTCCTGGAAATGAACCATTACTGGAAACAAGGTTTTTCTGTATGTCTTAGTGGCAAATTACTTAATCTTATAAGACGTCAGCCAACTGGACTTGCTGATCTCTTACTTAGGGACTTCAAATAGAGGGGTGAGTTAAATCAAGAGCTGCTCTTTTTTTTCACGGAGCCTTTTTGTCACCTAAAAGAAGCTCATCTAAAAGCTATGTTCCAAACTTCTAGGCTAGACTAGAGGATGAACTTCCAAGCTAAACGCTTGTTTATCTCCTTTAAAAGCGAGAGTCAGTTTATCCTGTTTTAATATTGGAAGCTGGAGAGGAGAGGAAGTAAACTGGTACCTTCAAACACTTTGGGTGTAAAAACTTAACACGTGGGCTGTCAGAGTCCTTATTAACACACAGACTCTGTTTACATGATGCTGGCTAGAACTTGAGGGCATCTTGCTCTCCAGTGAAAGACAGAACATTTCAGTAATATTTTCATGTGCATCCTACAAACTGGAACGGTACTGAATCTCTACAGGAGGTAGTGAAAGCGGGCCTTCAAAAATATGCCACCTAATTCTACACTACCCATTTTGACATGATGCTTAATGTAACCTGTTCACCCACCACTTCACTATTAACTAGATCCACTGTGGTATGTTCCAAACTATTGGTATAGATCTTTTCAAACCCTATCTGGAAGTTGTTTCTGTGTGTACTTTCATCTGACATTTCCCAGGGGCAAAACAGAACCTGCTCATAATACAGAATATTACTTATATGCATAGCAGTTTTGAAAAGAAAAATATTGAAAATAATGCAGAAAATGAGAAACAATTAAGAATTTTCAAAATTCTAGGGGACTATTCAGAAGGAAATCAGATGACTGGTATGCTTGCCATTTGGGATCAGAAAGATTTGGGCAGTTTTTAAAAAGGGGGTGGATCAAAGCTGTCTACAATTACTAGAAAGATAAAAAACATTTCACTGTGAAAAACCACACGGTGGGATGTGCATGAGGAAGGAGGAGGCAAGAAGCAGATGAGAAGCAGCATATGAACATACAGTGTTAGAGAGAAGAGTATAATTTCCCACAGAACACTATCTAATTAAGCTGAGATTCAGCTTTTGCTTTCTTTTTGTCTTTAAGTATAATAAACTTCTTCTGTTTGGAAAAAATGGTTAATTTATGGAACAAATTTAGTGCCTGAAATATTAACTGATTTAGTTTATTGCCTAAAATATTAATTCCTAGAAACATAATTCTTTTACATTTCAACGCTTTCAGCAAAACTTACATTCACTATGGATTCTTTTGTCTGAGCCATATCAGAAATAACTCCATCTGTAATAATGAGAAGAACAAAATACTGGGAGCCATCTTTTACCGAAGCAGCATATCTAAGGGAAGAAAAAACATCATCATGACAGTAAAAAAACCCTTTATACAAAGGAACTAATATGAAAAGAAGCTGTATTTTTAAAATTCGACTACTAAGGACTAATAAAAATAAAGACACATGATGCAGTGGATTTAAAAAGTGAAGACATTCAGAATTAAGATGGACATTCTACTTTTAAATGAGAACATTCGAAAAACGTAACTAATACACTGTTGATATTGATAATCTGCATGTGTTGAACCAGTGAAAAATGGGAACTGATTCAGTACCAAGAGGAGCATGGACAGAATGTCCTTTATAGAATCATGAGTCGTCAGAAAGTCTAAGTTATTTAACAGTTACTACCTCTGGGGAACATAGTTTAGTATGAAGGCCATATATTAACATTGAATGGTTGGGTTTATAGCACAAATAAAATTTATCAGGAATCAGTACACTGCATAAATATTTCATTTATTTTTTTTTGTCTTACAAAAACAGGTAACTTACTGTTGACCATGCTTGCAGATTTATAGTTCACATTTATGTGCATATTCGTAAAATGGCTGAACATGCACCCTGCAACCCTGGCTTAGATATTAATCTCTTTGCACCACCCATAGATGTCCTTTCAAGACTCAAGCTTCTCCCTGTGCTGTACATGAATACAAGACAAAACACATCCAGTGCCATTCCAGGCCCACCTCAGCCAAAGGACCCAAGAAGCAACTGCTCTTTGAAAATGAGCAGCTTTTGAAGATTAGCAAAGTCCTGAAAGATAGTGAGTTCGTAGCAGCCCCACTGAACTCTATGGCCTGCATACCAGAAACTAAGACTTCAGTTCATTTATCTTCAACTCCCAAGGGTCAAAGTGGCCTCTATAGTTAGTGAAGAACGCTTTTTGTGTGGAGCAGGCTGCTCCACTTGCTGCTTCACTTGACAGCAGCCAGTATAGTTCCTACTTTCATGAAGGCTCTTGGTGCTGTGAAGGAGTCAAACAGTAGAATCTTGTAATAAAAGTAGCAATGAGTCATATGGAGAGCAGTACAAAAAAAAAAATTAGTCTCCATATGAATATTGTGGAATATATGCCCAAGTACAGAATATGACTGTCAAAGAACTCACTATTTTATTGGTCACTGAACATGAAAGGCCTGGGTCACTGAACAGGATATGTTTTAATGATGCTCATGATGATTGCAATGCTTAGAAAATTCTAACTCTGATGTTACACAGTGCATTTGCAAGCGAGTACTGCCAATAAATAAGATGCTGTAACCACAACATTTACAAGAGTTTGGAGGAACGTGTGAAATGGAATCTACAACTCACAGAAAGCCATCACATTCCTCCCTCCCCAAGATACAGATAGTCAGAAAAGCCACACAGACAATGAACCTGTTGAACATCATCTATTTGCGTGCTGGCAGTAGGGACTGATAGTTAAATATCTGGATTAGCAAGACCTACTATGGAATACATTTTCACTATCATGCAGAGACTTCTTTTATCTCATTTTTCCACAATGCTTATAATCTTTTCAATGATGACTGCAGTAACAAGGGATGATGAGAGTGTAAAATAAAAATTCATTATCCTTTCTGAGCCCTTAATACTGTCTACATACCTACACTGAAGAAATGGAACAGAAATTTGGTTATTTCAAATTTTCCACAGAATAAAACATTCTGAAGTCTTTTGCAAGAAAGATCTTATATGAGCAGAGGAGATGACAGAAGACACTAGGTTGAATCTGGTGTAGTTTAGATAACTCCCTAGCTGGGGAAAGGATAATAAACTCATTATCTGCTCAAAGAGCTTCTGAAGAGTTCCAAGATCACAACAGGATAGTAATATCTGACATTGTTTCCAGAGAGGCATATTTGCAAGTAGGACGGATGTGGGAAGAAGAAAGCTCTTTGAGACTGAAGGTAGGTTTAAAGAGTAACTGCAGGCTAGATCATAATTTCTAGTACCATGTCTACGAGAGTCAATAGAATAGCCAAGGAAGGCTTGAAGGAAAATGATGTTACTGAGAATGGACTGGTACTTGGATTATATTAAGGACGACCATGCAGTAGAAATCCTCATGAAGATACTTAGCTTTTCCACTATAATGTAGTGTGATTTGCTACCAGAAGTAGTTCCCAAAGTTTGCAACAACTTGATATTTAGACAAAAGTTCAGTGGAACTACAAATGCTGGTGACAGGCTTCTGTAATTCTGCAAAAGTTGACAAATATTCCTGAGAAACAACTGGTGAGAAAAGGAACTCAATTTATGCCAGTGCTTTGATGGTACTAGATCAAGAATTTCAATTTTTGCAATGAACAGGAGGCTTGAAGTTAATTGCCAAATTCTGAACCAGCCAGCTCAGCCGATACGACCAGTTCTAAAGAAGAAGAAAGAGCCAGAAAAGTCAGTGGGTTAGATTTCCAGTTAACATGGCTAATGCAGACACTGAATGCCGCATATATGGAATTCAGTCGTCATAAAGATTGGCATGTTTCCTCACAGTCTGAAAACTGCTACTGAAGAGATCCTGTCAGAGGAAAGATTAAAAGGAGACAGCTAGTTGCTAAAGACAAGCAACGGAATATACATGTACACAATTTCAATGGTATGATTCAAAAATGGAACAACTAATCCTAATGATAAATAACTGAAATCAGCTATCTAGCCATGCTGGGGTGCACAGAAAATTCTTTGCACCATAGAATTTGCAAATTATTTTTCATTGGGCTGTAGAACTACCAACAGCAAGAACAGATAGTAAATAAGTATTTCTTGCTACAACAATACTATTTTGCAAGCTCATAAATAAAACATTAACAGTACAATGATTTATACATCCCTACTGCTTTATTTTATAAACATTAGTTCTTTCTCTGTACCTATAAATAAAATAAAATCTGTTAGGTAGTTACTCAGCTAAATTACCTGAGCCATTTCAGTTTTCCTATACCAACACATGGAGGTATACTGTAAGTCAAGATCTTGTCTGCCAAAATAAGGGAACATTATCCTTCTTAAGAAACTTCTACAAACACAAGAAGGGTTTTACTTTGAGAAGTTAGATGAGGTGTTGCATAACACAGCACCATGGCTCCCCAACGGTGGCTGCTCTGCTATTGCCTTAACAGTACCACTACCAGCTGGGAATTGTTGCCATAGAGAGCCCTGGAAAATTTTGTTGACGTTTTGGACGTTTTGAGATTACAGGAACTACATACGCCTAAAAAAATTGAATTTTATAGATTTTTTTATCGATTTATGTCTTTTCTGTGAAGCAAAAATTCTGTGCTGCAGAGGACAAAAAAGGAACATGGCAGAGTGATCTCACAAAAATTTTCTTTCACTATGATTTCTCCTAAGATTTTAACACAGGGTGGATCAACTGGATCACTTGTATTTATTTTTAATCAGCGATGAAATTCTACATAATACTAGCACATGGTCTTCAAACCTACTCAAAGGTACAAATTAATCATGTTAGACTGAATAAACAAAACAACTGTAAATACCTTTTTCGATGTTTAGCATCATGTAAAACTGTTAGCCTTTCATATGTGATAGTTGTACTGACAATAAGAAGTTTTTGCAAAGTACCTGTTGTGATGCTTACCTGGCTACATGATTAATTACAGGGGCAAAGTTTGTTGGTCCATAAAGCTGTACAGACTTGAGACTCCTGTAATATGCCTCCATTACACCATCAATTCCATGGCAGTATGGATTTTGAGGGTTTCCATTCTAATGAAAATAAGAGATGATTAATCACTAAAAATAATTACGAAGCAAAAATGATGTAGGTTAGTGAATGCTACCCAGTGTACATTTTTAAATGGCAAAGACCTAAGCATTCTAGGATCTCTTCAGAGAGTTTACTACAAATGCCCAATGTAAGTGCCATGGCTGGTTGTGAGTGTTAACTGCCTAGGGAAGGAGGTTCTAGCAGCCTCATGTTATACACAGTCTGAACTGGAACTGGTTCCTAGGCATAAATACCATCTTAAGTGGAATTAAACAGTCTTTCTTACATGCAACAATAATAGGCATTTCCTTGTGTGGATTTAAGGTATGAATTACAGGGCAGATGTAAAACTGGAATCATGTTTAGGAGCACCGTCCTGGACCCATGATTTCTTATTTTAAAAATGTGAAAAAAAGAAATGGTAGCCAGATCCTGATGTTCATGCATCAGGATGTGAGTATAAGGCAAACTATAAACTTTTTGTTGTTTTGGTACAATGTTTCTGCATTGGAAAACTGATTTTCAGCCTGGTATAAAGAGATGAAGAAAGGAACTTATTCTTTAGGAACCCACTGAAATGGCTGGGACTGTAAATTCTTTGGGTAGGCATTTTACTACCTATCTCCATAATGACTCTATAATGAGGATACCTATTTACAGATGACAATACAAACATATAAGCTAAATCCCAGATTAATGACCCATGTCAGACCAGATAAACGATCCATGAAAGGCTTCAAAACCTTCCAAATCACCTTACTTTCCTTCATGTGCCAACACCTCATTGGCTTAATGTGCCAGCATCTCATTCTGAGGTAGAGTATACCTCCCTGAGAATCTAGAAAATTAAAGGGGATTGTTCATGGAATTGATCTAGAATGTTAGAAGAGAGTGCTGAAAACACTGCTTAGCATTAAATGGGAGACACCTATATATGTTTATATATGGAAGAAGGAGAAAAAGACTGTTTTTTCCTCTGTAAAAGCACCACAATGCCTCATGAATTAACTGAATTAATTTTAGAAACATTCAGTTTTAAAACTGAAAGTAACCAGGAATAAGTCTGCTGTTTTAATAGGCTTAAGATTACATGTATCAATATATTTGAACTTGCTACACAAAAGTCCAAAGAAAGTCTGTGATTCAAACGAATATCTGCAATTGCACCTGTTTTATATTACTATCCATGTGGAAAACCTTTCCTTAAGACAAGACATGTGGCATTGTTTTCTAGCACAGGCTGACAGAAGAAACACACATCTACAATCACTAGTCTTCTGCCATGTCTTTGCTGCTATCTAACTAAAACTCACCTGATATACCTACATTTGCTGTAATTCTGACAACTTTATCCTACTCAGAGAAGAACAAAAAACTCAAAATAAGCAAGTAGATAAACATCCACACTAATCACAAGCATCAGTTATAACGCATCAACCTTTCTGGCAAATCCTGTTAGATTTTAGGTTTGTAATTTAACTGGCACATGGACCAGTCTCAGATTTGTTCTTGTCACCTCAGCTTATGGTCCACTTAGTTATCTCTATGTCTCTAAACTAGCAGCCTGTAAAAGATAAAGAGATCCTGGAAAATGACAGAGAACAATAACAATAATAATGACAGATTACCTTGGATCATGATTCACTTGCTTCTTAAAATAGATTAGCTTCAATCTGAAGTCTTTCAAGCATCTGTTTCTCATGCTGCTACAGCTGAGGTTAAAGATGATTACTTTTTTTTATTACTATTTTTGGCCTACAGGGACTTCTTGACTCTGGATTTCTCTCACTAACTTCACTATGATGAAACATTTTGAAACAGTCTTTTAGACAGAAGAATTAGCACATTCTCTGTTCTTTACTTGTCCAGTAATTGCTTAAGACTGCAACCTTAACTCCCAAAGTTTTGTTGTAGTAAAGAAATTCAAACAATATATAAATATTTATTTACTTACCAGTGCAAATTCATGTGATACTCTTCCATCTGGAGGCAGTCTAGCTCCAAAACCTAGAGCTGGGAACATTTTATCGCTGTCATAGTCCTGAATTATTTCACCTACTGCTTTCAGTGCCATGCCATAAGCATTCAGCTGATAGGGATTCATGTAGTGCAGTGAAGTAGGCTGTGAAGGGTTACCTGTTGAAGCAAGGATCAGATTTACTTTAAAACTGAATCACTTCAAAATTTTCCCTCTTAAAAATGATATAAATCTAAGAAAGCAGAAATTGAAAAGAAAAGATCACGACAAGAAAATGAACTTATTGCCTATATACATAACTGTGGTTTATCAGGTGAAAATGCAATGTTCTGAATACATTTTTAATAGTTAACAGTAGGAGCTGTAAACTTTTTCAGCATTGAAAGGGCAGCAAGAAACTGTGATTGAACTTGTAAATTTGTGTCATTTTAAAATATGATATACACTTTTAAGATGAAATTTACAAAAGCATTATGACATTCTGAAAGCAGCTTTGGAGGAGGATCAAAACTTATCTCTGCTTCACCCCACTTCAGCCTCACGTCATCTGAAACTCCTTTCTTTTGCCCCTTTTAATGGGGTCTTTTAAGTTAGCCAATTTTCTCCCAGGAATAATAAAGAAACAAAATAAAAAAATCAGAAAGTACACAAATATTTGCAAACTGCTCCTACTTATTCACTTTTATATGTAGCTTTTTCAATTTTTATCTGTTCTGTTTGTCCTGCTTTTCTGGACAGGAATTGGCCTCTAGTCTATTGCTCAGCAAAATGGAATCCTGATTCCAGGTGGTGCAAGGCATACAGATAATCAATAATACAATGAAGTTAAGCAGAATACTGATACAGATACATACACACACACATACGTACACTTAAAACTGAACACAGCACATACATACACAAGATGTTTATTTTTATTCTTACCATTTGAGGCTGTGAAATCAATAGCTACTGTGAAATTGATTTGGGTTCTGCAGAAAAAGCAAACACAATTCTTATTAATAGTTTTTCTGTTATGTGGAAAAATAAACAAGAGATTATAACGTTGTTTGTGGACAAACTGTAGGACTCTGACTTTCTAATACAGGAAATAAACACTGAAAATACTCTTCTATAAGGTTCCAGCCAACAGCTACACAACTATTTCATTAACATACTGAAAACAGTTACTTTACTCCATCCTTCCTTTTTTCATTGTTTATGAAAAATCGATAAGGTTATTAACATCTATAAACATTATTAATTCATTTTCAACAGTAATACTGATTTTTCCTTGGACATATTTTAGCCCTAGTCATGGAAGACTTTGACAAGGGAAGTAGGCTTTCACTAATCTGCTCCTTTTCTTAACACTAAAACTGTCTTCAATCAGAACATGTTTGAAATCATGCTATGCATAAAATCTTTGGACAAGATATCATAGTTTTTAGCAGTGGATTTATTTCATGTGAACATTGTCAATACTTTGAGTAAGCATATCAAGGTAATTGTTGGCAGACTAAAGTAATATCTGGAAGCAGGAATATAAAGATCTGTATTTGGAACAGTAGCTAAATAAAGCCATTATCGTGCATGGATCAGTTGTTAGCATAGACAGAAAAATTAATCATTAATAGACTTTTACAGAGTGACAATCCAATTAAACGCAGTTCTGTTCTGCAACTTACTTCAGGACAAAATACTGTCGTTCTGGAGATAATCTCCTAGCTAGTAAGACTCTATCAGGAAAAAGAGTTTGTATGAATTTGAAAATTGACTTTTTGCTCAGATTGAGTCTTTTACATCTTCCTTCAAATTTCTGCCTCTCAATGTGTGCAACTATGAACTTAATGATCAAATTAGCAAAGATTAAAGCTCTTTGAAAGTTACTGAACAGATTTAGCTCATGCACATTTAGATTAAACATCAACAATCCAACACCTGGCCTTGCAGTAGTGCTTTTACTGCTCAAATAACCTGACGTGCCCAGAGAAAATACTATTTATTTCATAAAAAGCTGGGTATGAAAAAAAATTAACATGGAATCATTTTATCTTATTGATCAAGGCTAACACAAGCTAAGCTAGGTTATGGGTGGACTCTGTCTCCAAAAAGTGGTAAAAGCCTACCAATGCTCACAGTATCAAGAAGAGTCCTTGGAACATGGTCAGCCTGGAATATGTCTAAAACTGCTGTGGCCTCAATATGGACTTCAACAAAAAACCCGTGAAAGCTGCTGCAATGTCTGAGAAGTTCAGAGACCTAAGCTTTATGAGAGAAGTCTTCTGCCAATACTTCTGCATTCTGCTTTATGCAGTTTCACCAAAAATTTTTTAATGGCATGACAAGTCAGATTTTCTTTGATCTGTACTCAGATGTCAGGCCCTGTGGCTTCTTAATCACAATGTCCTTCTGCACTGGCAGTTAGTAAGAATAAAGATCCTAAGAAGTGCATGTCAACTAGTTTTCTACCACCATTACTACAGCATGCAGAAAAGTTGTCTTCCTCAGATAAGAACAGGTTAGGAAAAACAACAACAAAAAGGTCTAATAAAATACCATTTCTAGATTTATGCTTAGAGTCCTTATTGGCACTGCTAAGCAAAGCTGCTTTTGGGCTATAATCTCCCTGTACTTAAATTCTAAAGGTTTTGGTGTACTGCAATGTTTGAAGACTAAAACAAGACTCCTCCAAGCATTACATGTCAGGTACATCAAGTACAGAAATCCTTCAGTGTGCTGAAGAATGCGTCAGTGAGAAAAAAACCTCAAACAGCTTTTCCTCTGCATAAGAACAGCAAAACTTATTTGTAATCTCATTTCCTGGATCAGCTATTCTGATCCAATTGGTAAGAAGAAATAGAGTTTCACGGATTCCGAATTCAAGACTGAAACAAGAGAAAGCACAGTAAAAGAAGATTAAAAAGGAAAATGGCTAACAGAAGTAAAAGAAAAAATATTAAAACCACATCTAATGGCAAAAAGAACAGAGTCAATTTTCATGTGACTACAGGTAATGACTGACAGCATCAGGTTCTGGAGTATTCCTCAAAGCAGTGTATCTGTATTAAATGTATACTGCTCCAGGTAACAGAAACCCATCTGGTAAACTAGAAAAACTCCCTTTCCCATTTACAATCCACTGTAATCTGGACTATGATTTTTGTCCAAGCAGAAGAGTACGTATACTACAGTATCTGCCAATTTGACAAATATAAAAATCATGATATAAAATAAGATCAAAACAGATGTCTACATCTCTAGAATTTGTTTCCATCTGTATGTACATTTCGATGATACCGCTATACAAAAACATGCAAGAACTTAAACCAATTACTTGATTTCGACAATTTATAGATGACTGTACATAGATTAGATTTCAGTTTCCTAAAGATAGGTTCCTAATGTTATTTTAGAGTCCCCAGGATACTTAGTACACCATGGAAATTTTTTGGGGTCTAAAATGGCATTAAATGCCTATATAGTTCAGGAAACTGGATCCCACTCTTAATGCAACTGTCACTTCGGGTTATGGACTCATGACAATAGAGAACGTCACTCATGTCTTACAGAGAACCAGGAAAGCTAGAACAAACTCTGTTAGGGCAAACCTGCACTGTGATCGCCCTATGTTTTCAATGACCATTTTGTTTCATATATCATACAATATATGTATGGAGAAAAGGAGGCTGAGGGGAGACCTCATAGCGCTCTACAACTACCTGAAAGGAGGTTGTAGCGAGGTGGGTGTCGGTCTCTTCTCCCAAGTAACAAGCGATAGGACGAGAGGAAATGGCCTCAGGTTGTGCCAGGGGAGGTTTAGACTGGACATTAGGAAAAATTTCTTCACTGAAAGGGTTGTCAAGCCTTGGAACAGGCTGCCCAGGGAAGTGGTGGAGTCACTATCCCGCATTTAAAAGACATGTAGATGTGGTGCTTAGGGACATGGTTTAGTGGTGGACTTGGCAGTGTTAACGGTTGGACTCGATGATCTTAAAGGTCTTTTCCAACCTAAATAATTCTATGATTCTATATCAGAAACATCCCTCTGAATATGATCTCATGGAAAGGAGACATAGAAGCCTAAGTTACACAAGGCACCTGTGTCCTCTGAGGAAAGGAATAATAAATTGCAAAAAGGTACAAAATAAAGGTCAACCCTTGTAGTCAAAATTATCAAAATGTAACTAAACCTTTTTTGAACACAAAATTGGATCTCTCAAACAAACAATTCAACTTCAAATTAGTACCACTGGAGAAAATACTTTCAAAAGCAGCTGTAATATTGTGAACATGTGTATTTTGTGTGAAAGATTGTTAAGAAAAGGTATTAATTTCTCTACTGTTTCACCAGGACTGAAAAAATTAACCAGCCATAACTAAAAAATTAATCCAGGAAGGCTAATTTAAAAGCTATGCGTCATGAAAACATCAGATAAACTACTTTGGAAGCTAAATGGGATGACCGGGAAATTAATCTGGAAGACATTTTAAGAAGTGTCTTCATGGTAACCCATGTTATTCTAGAACCAAATTAAATGTAATGAATATATCTGAAAGTCCACTGTCCTGTTTTTATTTCTACTACATGTTTTATTTCTTTTTAACAGACTAATTCTTAGGTTGTATCAAATACACATTATTTGGTTATTATTACACATTAACCTTCATCAACAAGAATGTATTTTTTTATAAGATTATTGATTACTGTATTTTGTGTAAGGGACATTAGCTGAAAAATCATTAATTCAGAATAAGGATGCTCAAAATTTTAAAAAGCATATAAAATTGAAGTCCTGAAGACAAATTTAGGTGCCTGATTAAATGATGCAAATTTTAAAACACATCAAGACAACAAAACTTGCTGGTTTTGATAAGGAAATTCTTTGGCTAAGGCTGTGTCCTTGCTTTTCCAGCCGTATAGTTCTCCAAGGAGCTACATTAAAAGCTCATGACACGCTACATCAGTGATGTTGCGAGGTCATGAGGCTTTGCACAAAAGCCACTAAAATACTGACACCTGGCTAGGCAGGCTGAGCTGCTGAATGTCTTGTCCCAAGGGAGAACTCAGGTAGAACCCAAGCACAGCAATGTGCCTTATGGATTCAGAGCTGGATCAGATCACTACTACTCTGCCAGAATTTAGTTGGTATAGAAAGACATGATCTATTTGATACCTGGACAGGTGATTTTACCCTATATTACAACGAGAAATGAAGAAAGTATCTTAAAAGGAACAGTAACCTTCACCTCGCAACCACAGAGCAGCCATTTTGTTTGTTTCTTTGGGAGAGCAAGGTGAAACCTATCGTTTTTTAATAAGAACTTTGTCAGCACTGATATACATAAGGGAACAAACTAAGCCTGGATGTAGCTTTTGACTAGGCTTGATAACATTTGTAATTATTAGGTTTTTCTTAAGCAGTACATTGGAAGGAAACATGAATTTCCTCCTGTGGCTTCGGAGTGACAACCAGCTGGTCTGTTAGCTGGGGGGAGCTGTTGAAGGTTTGAGGACCACTTACTGTGCAGAACTCTACAACGGAGCTAATGGAGTAACTAACACTACCAAGAGGCTGTATCCTCTCCATGGCATTTAAGTCCCCAGTGACAGTTATTTTATAATTTCCTCTTTGCAGTGCTCGTTTGGCCAAATGCCGTATCAAGATAAAGAAGATTTTTCTGATAAAGGCTCTACAAGATCTTCCTCTTATGTAGTCTTATTACTCCTCATTATTCCCCAAGGATACAAGAAATATACGGTAAAGCCTCCAAAATATGTAGCTATGGCAGCCCTTGCTTCATAACTGTATCTCACACCAGGTCTCCTTCTCCTCCGAACATCAAATATGCATGTCTATGCATTACATTCTATGGTGTACTGGTTGGATGAAAATAGCTGTCATGAAAGGAGTTCTAAATTTGCATTTTGACCATCAATGATTTAATACAGTTCAGTTAAAAATGTATGCCCAAAGCCCTTAGAATCCAAACAACATGTGGGTGTTCATTTCCAAAAACCTGGATGACGGTAAGGTTTTTAACATGATGGGAGGAAAGCATTTCCTCTTATCTTCCACTAATCTGGGACAGAAGAGATGACTTAATATTTTTGAGTTGCAAAAGGATTCAGCTCCTGAATTTTATTGATTTACAAATGCCTAGAGGAACTTGTTAGCCCACTCCCTATTCTAATAAGTCAAACGGGCTAGAAACTTCTGCACAGAAATATCCTTTCCGTCCACTAAGTCTTGCAGCTTTTTGGCTCCTGGTCTCTCTTCCAGACAAATATAGAGCAGACTCTAAACTAACTGTTTGACAGTCATTCCTGTAAACCAGGATAACTTTAACTGCATTCCTCTTCAAAGCCGTATCCCTTAAGTCCTGAGCTTATTCATACGTTTGGAGGTGTTTTGATAGGAATATGTTATTAATTGTTAAGTGGCAGGAGAAATCAGATTTTGAAATATACATTAATTTTTAGCACAATGTACCTATTTTAAATGTGGGAAGGTCAGTGTGGCAAAATATGTGATTAAGCATCAAGATGTAAGGAAAAACCAGCTACTAAGATGGCACCACTTGATGTAATATTCAGATGCAAAAGAGACATCCACCTCTTTCCTGCCATACTGCTATAAAATCCAGTGTTATGTAGCAAAACGAGATTAGAATTTACGGACAAACTTCTATTTCATTCTTCAAAGCTCTTTAAAAAAACAACAGTCACATTGATGATACTTATAATGGAATATCCCACTCAAACAGATGCAGACTCAAAACATAAATGAAATCAATACTGTAATCCCAATTTGTCGCAGTTAAAGCTGTCAAGATTTCCATTAAATCAGTATTAGTTCTAGACACCTCAAATCAATTACAACGAAAGTTCTGAACATGAAGAATTTCATAAGCATCCATTTATAGAAGAGCTTATATTGTGCCTATTGCAGAATCAGTGTTTTCTTCCCCTTGCCTAACTAAATGGAAGAAAAACAGAGAACTAAAAAAAAAAAAAAAACAACCAACAATTTTGGAGGACATACTTGATGGGAAAACAGACCGATTAATGAAAAAATCTTCTCTTCCCCCTTCCTTCAAAATCTGTCATCTGGACTGCAACTGGTATGTAGTAGTATTAAATGAAATGAATGAAGGAAGAGAGAAGCCAAGAAAATGACTCCGAGTCTCAGCCTCCTCCTGGTCATGTTTACAAAACTGTATAGGTTGCAGAAAGAAAGGTAACATTTTATACAAGTATTTCTACAGTGTTCACTGGCATGTACATAGAAATAACTGTATGAATCACTAAACAAGATTCTATATAAAATAATTAAACGATAAGTATTACTGCTCATACTTTTAAGCACAGAGCACTCTGCTGAATTATACTCTTTTTATATAAAAGAAGAAAAAAGCTTAAGTGGTAATTATTAATATCACAAGTCTTCTTTGACTTGCAGTTACAGAGATATATACAAAATATCAGTAAGAACAACAAAGTATTACTTGTATTCAAAATTTCTATTATTTGTCTATAGAATGTAGATAACTAGGTTTATTAAGCTGTATTGTAACATCTCAGTGAGAGATGTGATAAGCCACCCTAAAAAGATTACATATGCACCCACTACGTTTTTTCTTTCCAAATTTAGATATAAAACTTAATTCCTCAGCTCATTATACACACTCTTCTTGTAGAGACGAATTTTGAATGAATGGGGAATAAGATGGTTGTGGCATGTATGTACAACACACTTCAAAGAACAAACAGCTACACTAGAGGTAAAACTGTTTCTTCATGCATTTGTGTATACATATACTTCATTCAATACAAACTTTTTGTAAACATGGATGGATGGCCATTTTCTACTTCTGTTAAAGTCCACAACGGGAATGTTCCTGAAAAGGCAACAGCAATCCTAATAAAAGTAACCTGTTTCTCTCAAACTCTAGGATTCTCTACTAAAACCAGAACACTTGCACAAATCAGAAGGGCTCCACAACAGATTGACCATGAGTGTTCGTATGGAAATCATATCCAGAACGTTCATGCTCCAAGTACTCTTCTGTTATCTCAAGAAGCTGTCTATCTGTAATTCACAGTGATTCAAAGCAGGCACAACAAGCCATCCTGATCATTGGAAATGGACTCAGAAACACAGAAATAACTGGTTTCCTAACTATGGCAACCTAGGTGCCTCAGGAACAACTTGTCAAGCAAATGTGCTGATGGAATTCTTTATAGCATATAGAGTCACATATTCTTCAGATGTTAAAGATGCAGTAGTACCTTGACAGCATGCCTGACCTATATTAGGAAGTTTTACCTTTGCTAAACTGTAACAGATTCTAATGCATTCAACAACTGAATTGCATCCTCTCTGAGGAGAAGCTGTAGGATCCAAAGAGTGCAAACATAGACAAGAAGTATTCCAGCAGCAATGTTTCCAGTTAACTGAACTGAACTGGAGGTAAGGATAGCAATTCTAGAAGAGCTTGATAGTTTGCAGTCCAGAAGCATCCCGGAACAAAGTGTAGGGGTCCTGAGTGTACTAAAAAGCCTTTTAATGGCTAAACAGAATCACCTTGGCCCTCTGCCACATGCTCCCCCATTGGCTCAGGAACCCCATTTCAGCTCAGCCTTCAGTCCCTGCCTGAGCTACGGTCAGAGGAGTACGGGTCTCCAGCTCAGCCAAGCCCATGCCTGGCCATGGACTCCATTAATCCAGATCCTGACCCATGGACTGACTTCCTGGCTTGACCTCCTTGCCTTGTCCACCATAGGCCTGCCTGGTAATCTGTCCTGGTTTTGGCTGGGATAGAGTTAATTTTCTTCCTAGTAGCTGGTATAGTGCTGTGTTTTGGGTTTAGTATGAGAATAATGTTGATAACACACTGATGTTTTAGTTGTTGCTAAGCAGTGCTTACACTAAATCAAGGACTTTACAGCTTCTCATGCTCTGCCGACTGAGAAGGCTGGAGATGCACAAGAAGCTGGGAGGGGGCACAGCCAGGACAGCTGACCCAAACTGGCCAAAGGGATATTCCATACCATATGATGTCATGCTCAGTATATAAACTAGGACCTGATCCTGACCCGGACCTGTGGTTTGCCTTCCCAGCCTGACCTCAGTCTGCCTCATAACCACAAACTTCCCTGATGATCTGGACTCTTAATTTAGCCTGGCCACCATTTCTGGGCCTGCCCTGCTTGCCTTGCCCAAGTACTGTACAACTGGGCCCTGGCTGGTGAGGCCCTGCCCTGCCAGCCATGCTACTCAGCTCCTCTCCCAGCTCCCCAGCCATTCTGGGGAGGGACGGCTGCTCCCTGACACAGCCCCTTCCCTCCACTAATGTGTCCCACTACTTAGAGGCCTCAATGATGGGTCTATAGAACTCACTCTGAAGGTCACCCATAACCTGTCGTGTATACCATACAATATTGTAATATCAAACAATCAAATCTGAAATGTTGCAGAGGCTCTGTGTGCTATCCAAATGAGAAAATATGTTCAGCCACCGAAGAGCGAGCAAATGAGCAAGTCAAATCACAAATTTCTCCAAAGATATTGAATAAGAATTTTAAAAAGAATACGTCTACATCCATGTTAAAAACCCTAATTAAGCATTCCCATTTTTAATACTATGCATAAAATATTCTTGTCAGGTTTAATCTGTGTTTTGAGATACATAACAGACTGAATTCACCCTTACTGAAGATATTTATTTTCTTGGATGGAGATCAAACAACAGTGAATTTGGATCTTCTAACTTCAAAATTTAACTGTTTGGGAGAACTGAAACATCAAAGAGGCTGTTAGTCCTTGAGAGAGAAAAAAATTACACTCTGCAGCAGCCCATGGGTTAGGGTCAACAGTTTGGAGTACATCTTAACAATGATCCATTCCCTCTACAAGTTATCAGTTCAGTATGGAGTACAACCTCAGGTTGTGGTATTTCAAAACCTTGAATAATACAATGGCAGTCGAGATAGCTTACCGACCGTTTCTCTGTAGCTAACAATTACGATTGGGGGCATCACTTTTAACTTAATGAACTTCAATGATTAATGTTTTAGGCATAAACCTTAAGCACATTCTCATCTGTAGGATTACCACTGTCAGGAACAAAGGCAAAGCCCTATATTGCTACTGCCAGAACACAACACAGACTTCTTTTTTATTTCAGCTGAAGCCTGGTTGAAGACTGGCACAGAAAAAGTAACTTGTTCCTTCACAGGTAATCAATGGTCTAAAATAAATGTGGAATGTTTATTCAGACTGTATGCCTCAAAAATGCACACTAAGTGCCTGGGAATGTATAACAAATTATTTCCATTTATCTTAGAGAATAATAGTGTTCTGGCAGGGAGGTTAAGAGCCAGGAGTTTCTGAGATTTGCTCCCATTTCCAGGCATGTTCTAGGGTAAGCCATTTGATGCTTCTGCCTCTACTTCCCTTTTGGGAAAATGACAATAAATGAGAAATGGAACGTGTTATAAATTTCACATAATTAGTATTGAAAAAATGCCTTTAAAGGGGAAAGGCTCTAAATAAATGCTAATATTAAATACATCAAAGGTCAGTGTAATCAGAAGAAATAAAACAGCATTTTACTAATTTAATAGTATATAGATAATTCCCTTTCGGTTAATCCAATTTTCACTGGCTGATCAGAGGTTATTATTCAATCTCAGTGTTTTAGTACCAACACTGATTCCAACATTGTAAGCGAAGTTCCATAACTTAACTTACATCAATAACTATCTGCAGGTTCTATGTAGAAAAGTACAGCCTCTATAATGAGGAAACAATACAGCTCTTTACAGATACACTTAGAGTCATCATATGCAAAATACATACACAAATTATTAGTGAATTACAATGAGATTGTGAAAACAAGAAAGGTTTGTTGCCAATCACATACCCGCCTTTAATATAGTCAAGGAATGAAACTTCTGTTTCAATTAGGAAGGAAAGCAATGTTACCTGAAAGCAAATAAAAGAGAGTCAGACATGAATTGTCATTTTCCAGTTGAACAAATAGAGACATAAGCACAATGTTTTTGGAACTCTATCCTTAAGATGTAATTTCCTACAATATTAGGGAAAAAAGATTAAAAAAAAAAAAAGGAAACTATTTCAATAGGCAGTTCTTGAAAGGGAAGAGACAAATTTGGAAGTCTACTACAATTGCGGGGTTTTTTTTGTTGTGGGTTTTTTGGTTTTGTTTGTTTGTTTGTTTGTTTGTTTGTTTTTTCATCAAAAGGTAAGGAACGGAAGATTGTATTCCAGGGCAGGTTACCACGCGCGTGTCTTCTGATCACTGTGCACTACATCTATACAAGAATATTAGAGGCTAGATGACAATGCATCTATTCTACAAGTACTTCAACACTGTTTAAAGAACTCAATTACAATTATTTATGTCATTTCTCATTTCACATGAAACGTGGTATTGAGTATTGATGCAAGCCAAGAATGCAAAAATCTAGTAAATTATACATACATACGAAATATATAAAAAATGCAAAGATAAGAAATTTCTTCAGCCCCAGCTTTTATCGTTCAGAAATGATATAGGTCCAAAACACACTGGAATTTCCAGTACTCGAGTCACCTAAGTACAAACTCAAGTGGAAAAGATCCAGCATTTAAGTTCTTCATATACCACACAACATAAATTTTGTCACAACATTTGATTTACCTCCAACTGCAGCAAAATATAAAAATTGAAAATATTCCTAAATTGTAAACTTGTACTCAGAATGAGATTACAGGTAGTAATTCTGTCTTCTATCATACTTCCTTTGTCACAGGTTCTCTGTGATTCTTAGCGTCTCTCAAAGTTTAAAACCATCAAATTACCTTTCTAGTAGAGAACAGAAGACCATAACAAAGATCTAACAGACTATCAGTAGCATAGTTTTGCATATAAGACTGAAATTTCTATGCATTTTCCCACTGGACACAGTCATTTTAATGGTTCATCTGTTATTACAGCTGGTCATCTTACTCCTAATTAGTTTAAGCAAATGTTTTCAGTGAGTCTGATTTTAAAAGGTAAAAAATGGAAACAGACAACACCCTTCCAAAGTGGCCAAACTGTTTACTTCCATACAGACAATGACTACCAATGTTCCAAGTTTTATACAGCGAATTCTAAATTTCACTACTGTGCTTTTTTCGAAACTAATAATATATTCTGAAATATTTCTCCTTAGTATGTCTGAATTTAAAACAACCCCTTAAGTAATAATGAATTGAGAAGGCTATTGTATGTGCATAATCCTTAAAAGCAGCAGTGAAATAGCAGTCAATGATCTACATCCACTTTACTTAAAGTTTTCCAGAAGCCAAATTCCTATTAGTGAGAATGATGGTCTTGGTGCCTGGTTTGAAAATTTAGAAGTCTGTGAGATAATGAATATCTTGGGTGAATGACAGGGAGAAGAAAAACAAAACTGCAGACAAACACATAGGAAAGTGACAATTTGGAGAAGCGTAAGGGAAGCCTGAAGGACTAATAGAAGTAAGGGCAAATGGGGGCAAAGGGGACTTGATAAAGAAAAGAAATTACAAAATCAACAGTAGAAAATACTGGTAGAGAAGGAAAGAGGAAAGAAAATAGCTAATAACTGTTTATTGGAAATTTCCATGTAATTTGAGACAAAGGATAACAAGACACAGTTGATTTTGCCTGTCCAAACATGAGTAAAATATGTTCTTTCAAATGCAGACAGGTACATGTGAAGGTGTTAAAATATTTAAAACCCAAATCAACAGGAAAATTGATCATGTAAATGCATTTTTTTGCTCTTCTGTACCTGCATTTTTGAGTACACTTACTTTTAGTATTGTTTTAAAATAATCATTTTTCGTAAGTTTCTGACTCACTAATTTGGCATAATAGAACTTTATTTTAACATCCCAAATTGAGGTAAAAGGAATATGTTAGCAAAAAATAAATTATCTAACAAATCAGATCTTGTATGTTAAATTTTCGTGGACAAGCTGCTTCTGCCTATTTTTTACAATTTAAAGCAGAGGTACAAAATAAATGTTTACTTTCCTACTGATGAACAGACCTATACAAGAATGTGAGAATGACAAAACATTCCTCCAAGGCTACAGTTCAGAGTGAAAGTAGCCATACGGACTTCAGTGGAACTGTTCATATGGAAAAAAACCTACACACTGGATGTGTTTTCAAAAAACATATCTTATATCTGATTAGGTTTTCCAATATACAACTCTTCAACATTTATCTTCATTTTTTTGTAAATGATGTTTTGAACATCATGCATGCCAGAACACAGAAGCTGAGGAAGTGCTGAAAGGAATTATTTGCATTGCTAGCAAATGGTTCACAAAACAGAATATGGCATATGAACAAAAGGACATTAAACTCTCATCCCAAACTATACTAACAGGTCTTTCAACATAAATTTACAAAAACCTGTTGCTAACACAAAATGTTGACTCTTTTTGGTTTAGCCATGATAAGCATACTAGCTTTTACTGATGCTAGCTCAGCAGTTAAATTTAAAAAGAAAACTGACTTTTAAAGGTCAGATATGTTTCAGATAAAAGTTAATAGTGTTCAGTCCAATAATTTCAACAATTTGACTGAAATTTTGGTATAACTCATTTTGGAAATCATTGGCAACTTAACAGCACACTTGGACACAGCTTTTATTAGATTCTTCAAATTAAAAAAATCTGAAAATAAATGCTGTATAACAGTAAATAGTTTATTGTTGTGGCCTTCACAGCAGGTTCTTTTCTAATTCTGTTAAATTACAAGTCAACTACAGTGTTTCAAGAGAAAAGAAAAGCATCCAGTAACATAAAATATATTTACTTACTGTTCCAGAATTAACATACTTTTTCTTTTTTCCTTTTTTCTTTGGATTTATTACCTAGAAACACAGATATGAATATTAAAGCGTATGATTTATGATTTAACATAAAGATAAGTGTTAAGATACTTTCAATGCAGAAAGTAGTCTATTTTCAGTGGATTCTAAATTTATTCATCATATTTACTTATGCACTTCAATGCTGGGATATATGCATATTTGAAAACAGGTGAATTTATCTTCATGGTACCTGCTAGGTAAGCCAGTGCTGTTATTCGCATTTGACAAATAGGGGACCAGGGCAACAGAGGTGAGAGTGTTCATTAAATCTGAGTGCTCAGTGAAACACTTCTTTGAATTTTCCCGAGATTCTGCATTTTTCTGCATTCCTGATTCCAGTGTTTCAGTGTACTGTGTCACCACTTCTTCATCTCACAATGTACCTCTTCACATTCCAGTTAATCTGTTTCCATCTTCTCCTCAGTATTATCTGAGAAACACGAGAGTTGTTCTACCCCTAGTTTCTGTATTTGGTGCAATGACAGGATCTGGCGGACAGGAAGAGCAATTGGGGGGGCAGATCATACCGTGGCAAAATAGAAACTAGTCAGTATTTTCATGAAAATGGCACAGACCACCACCTGACTGTCATACAGGAGTTGTGGGGGCTCAATGCACTCCCCCTACACAAGAATCTTCATGGAACTAGACTACAAAGCATTAAACAGTCTTCCTGAATGTCTTCAACCCACACCTATAAAATTTCTCACCGTAGGTGCCAATAAAAATTTTTTCCCTTCTGAATACCTACCCATTCAAAGGCAAGTCTCAGTCAGTTTCATTACATACACATTAAAATGTACTCCTGCTTTTTTCAAAATTGCACATGGAATTGGAAGCAAAACATTATTTTCTTAATTAGGTTGATCAACTATCTCCTATATAACTAGGAAACTCAAATCCTTGTGGCTTACTGCCAAATTTTACTGTAAACTGCTCACAGATGTTCTGTGAATGACACGGAACGAAAACATTCCCAACTGAAATCTTAGTCACTTAACTGCTATAAAATATTTAAACAATTTTGCCTGAAAATGGGAAAAATAGTAATACATGTCTTCCAAAAATTCTCTCCCCCCAACCAAAATGAAATTACATTTAAAGATCATATTCCTTGCACAACACAGAACAGCTGTGAAATGTAAGGCAGAAAGAGATAACTATCATTTGAGGTCTTCCCAAACAGCATAAACGAAAGTGACTCTTTCTTCCCCTCCAGTATGCCACACAGTTATCCGGTAAGTATTCTTCAAAGCTTTTACTGCCTTACACATACATAAGCCCTTTAACACTTAAAAAAACCCAAATAACCCCTGTCCCTCCTATTAACAGTGTCTTGACTGGTGAGCAATGGATTAAATCTGTGTAATGGTGGTTTATACACAATGCAGTAATTCTTGTTGAACCAGAATCTTACCCAGAAAGTGACTCCTGCTGACAATTGCCCAGAAGAGGAAGATGAAGGTAACAGACTGCCTGCCTACCCTGTGGCCCTTCATTCACAACTCTCCAGAATCCAGTGGTCAGGTCTCAGTTAGCAGCATATTTCTTGCCAGCAGTCATTAAATGCCAAAAAGGAGATTCATCTGAATCTTTGCTTCATGTAACTTGACAATTTGCTTCTTAGGAATTGCTAGGAAATGCACTAGAGCTTGGAGTGAAATATCATGGGAAACAAGGCATCTACTTGGTATCAAAGATTAATTAAATCACAGCTTGTCTCTCTCCTATAATTCCAGGTACTATAATTATTATAATATTTATGTGGGTTTTTTCTCAAATTTCAGATAACTTTATGAATAAAACAACATTTTTCAGCCTCTGAATGCCTTACACCCCTGCAGTAACTTAGGAAGCTATATGAACTCTTACCTATTAAAAAAATAGGTCAATTGAAAACAGCTTGTTATAGCAACGTTTCTAATCTGAAAATATGGGACACCCACTCAAACACAAATTTCTCTACCTGCCTTGGGTCAATTTATAAATGCAAAACAATTAAAAAAGAATTTGTCCAGTCTTTTGTTCTGGTATTGCACAGACTCATCAAGTAGAAGCAGTATCAAAGTACAGAGGATTGCAATGTGGGGAGGCAAACATGGGATGCTCGGGAAATGTATGCTATTGCTGGGAGTAAGATATTGATACTGTATTTAAGGAACTGCAAAATGATTTAAGATGTTTTGACAAAATATTCCTGGTAGGGTAGGAGTCATGTCAGTGATACAATAGGAGAGGACATTTTCACTGCACAGAGTAATCTGTGCTGTGACACTATCCATAGGAAACTGCTGTAAATTACAGTAATTCTGGGGTTGATCTTGGATCTAAATAAGAAAAAACCCCATGGCTTTCAGTTATCTTCGTCCTGCTTTGCACAGCAGCACCTTTGCTCATCTTCAAAATAAAAGTGCAGCACATAATTGGAGCACCCTCCTTCCCTACCTTGCATTAGTGCTTGCCTAAACCATCATATTTGTGATCACCTATATTAGGAATATGAAATTTTACAAAATACTGATGTTTAATGGCAGTAGTCCAAGACCAATTAAAGGATAGCTTAAGGAATAACAAAGATCTGCACACCATACAGAAAAAAAACAGGCTATAGCCACATAGGCTTATCTTCTCATTATTAGCAAGAATATCTTTCCATGAGGAATTAAAAACACATTTCAGTTCTGAAAGACACCATGCATGCAAACTGCATAATGCTGTAACTCATGGTGCAAATACAGAAGCTGACCTAAATCCTTCAAAAAGCATACCTAAAACCTGGAAGAAGGTCTTAAGTATTTATTGTGAGGGACATAAGAGGTCTTGAAATTAAACTACCTACCACGACTAGTTAGCTGGATTTGTCTTACATCTGAATCACCCTTGGGAGAAGCAGAACTGAAAGAAGTTCCAATCACAGGATTAAGATTGCATCAACGAAGACCTTGCAGACAGCCTGGTCAGGAGTTTCACCATTCTGGACACATATACGTTGTCTAAATTCAGTAATAGGCTCTCCTACCAGAATGGACAAAGAGGGAATAGAACCACAGTCCTCAAGACAGCTAGTCATGGAACCATCCCAAAAGCAACTACAGCCCATATGAATCCACAAGTCACCATCAAATGGCATCACATAGCAGAAGTGCCTGTATTACCTGCAGTATAATTTGAAGGCAAATTAGCTGCTAATTTGAAAGAGGAGGTGCTCAAACTAACAAGACTACGTTAAAGAGAGATTTGGTGGAAAAAACTATTTGTGTTTTTTCAGATGGCACATATGACCATTGCTGATGTTAGGGGGAGACTTAGATATTACTTTCCCCTGGGGAAGGTGGGCAGGGAGGAATAAGATCAAAATCTTGGCTCTGGTAACACTGGAGATCAAGGACAGAGTCACTAAAGAAATACCAAGAAAAGTATCACACACAATGTCCCAGGTAGAAGCTGGGAAGGAGCTCCAGAATACGAGAAAGAAGAAATACTTTTAGGGACTTCCAAAACAACAGGGAAAAAGAAGAATTCTAAGTGCCTTATTTTTCTTCAGTTCCTATACTTGGTCTGCATTATGTAAGACAAGGGTTGATGCAGTAAGAGGACCCATTTTATGCTGCCAGAACTTCTGGAGAGCCGGAAGGCTCTGTGTATGATGACATTTCCGAAGAGAGGGCTGCTTTTAACTAGAAAAATCTGCTGGTAATCAGACCTAGGAATGGGCATTTGTACTGAGGTGTGATGACAGTGATCTATTGCATGAGGATAAGAGTCAAGGTCTAACCCAAAAGAGCAAGGCTCCAAACACCCAGGCAAAATGAAGGCAATTTCTAGTAGGATGCACTGACACCTTTCCTATCTTTCCCTTAGGCACTTTGGCAGATGCTGTATTCTGGGTTATGTTCATTACTCAACTGATACAAACATCTTGTAAGTTCATTAGAGAGGAGACTATAGCCTCTTCAATGTGAGAGAAAGGAAAACACAACTAAACTTAAAACTGGACCATTCCTGTGTTTAATACTATTTATAAACTCTGAAAGGGAAAAAAGTTCTCATATTTTATAATCAGTTTATTTTTATAAAGGATCTGTCAAAGAGTTATCAGACAGATATACTGTTTGGAAATCATAAAAAAAAAGCACACCAAAAAAGTCTACCTGTAACACACAGTTCTTTGGGTTCATGACTCTGTGATCTGAAGCACTGAATATGAACTTCATGCTCAGACTCTTCTAAGGTTCCTCTATTCCTTAGGACACCTTAGGACAATAAATACAGCACAGACTGTACCTTGCCTAAACAGTAGTTTTCTTGTGTTGTATGAATGCTTGTATCCAGAAATGGAAGACAGCAAAAATGAGAACAGAATTAACTGAGAAAGACAACAAAATAATGACGTTAAAAATAAAACAAAGGCGGCTCTTTGCAAATCTCAGTAAGTGAGGCTATGAAAGACCTACAGACCAAAACCTACAGATTCAGCACTTCACCTTAGAGAAACTGAAAGTATCTGGCACAATCCATACTCTTTGTCTGTGAGTATGTGTGAGATGGAGGGTGCTAAAAAGCTTTAACACAAATGGCTGGACATATGCATACACATGTGAAAATGCAATAGCATGTATTTTCACACAGGGGAATATACAGGTGGCTGGAATACATGCGTTATTTCCATGTGAAAATTGTTACTCTTGAGCCCTTGCGCAGGTGTCGTGGTTTAACCCCACGCTGCCGCTCACTCACCCCCCCCCTCCCCGGTGGGGAGGGGGGGGGGATCGGGGGAGCACAAGGGGGAAAACCCCCGGGGTGTGATA